CTGTGGGTTCTGCTTGGCCGCAGGAGTGACCCCGCTGTGTGGGTGAGAAGGGACATGGTGCCACCTCGTGGCACGCGGCTCTGAGTGTCACACAGCCGTGTCCCTGCTGGGAGGGCACCCTTCCAAGAGAATGCCATCCCGTGGGAGCTCCACCGCTGCTCCTGTGGCCACACAGTGAGTAGCTGGCAGCAGAAGGTGCTCGGTGGGGACCCATCTCCAGAACACAAGGAACAGGGCTAATGATGCTGCCCCATCCCCTAGTCCTGATAGCAGATGCAAAGAAGGGAGTGACCCCAAATACGTCAGTTTTCAGTGAAATGCTTCGCTACAAAAGCAGCAGGGCAGTGCACAGGCAGGATTTAGGGTGTGATGGATGGCACCATGGCTGTGTGCTGGCACGTGGGGCTCAGCACCAGTGAGCTGGGTCCACTGCTGTGCCAGGCGCAGTGCAAACGCAATGGAGGTGCAGTCATTATCCTGCAAAGGTCGTCACCGAGACCCAGGTCAGTTCCCTGCTACATCTCTGCAGTGCTGCTGTAAGATGTCAGTGTTTGATCTGCGACCAGAAACCACCCAACACTGGATTATTTTTTCCATTGCTATTATAAACGTGGCCCAGTTCTGCTGGGTTTTTTTCCTCCTATATTATACAGCAATACTGAAGATGGAAAAGCCCCTTCCTTCCTCTCTGCCTGGATGCTCTGAAGGGCTGAATCTATAGCAGGGGTTGGAGGGCGGCGGGAGGCACAGTAAATTTGGGTTTTGCCTCTAAATCAACAAATTTGTTCCTCCTTAGCAGCCCTGAGGTTTCCCTGGGAGAGCTAAGAGCAGGGGATTAGGAGGGCTTGTTCTCTTTAATTGAAGAAGTTCAGCCTACAAAGCAAAGCTTACCTTCAGTATAACCTGAGGAGAGAATGTAACATTCTCCCTGCAGGTACGTACTGCTGGAAATCACCCAGAAGACAAGTTTGCTTTGTCATTTTAGGAAGGGGGTTTAAACACGAAGCCCTTCTATGGAAGAAAGGAGCTCATGCTGATACAGTGATATCTGTGTCAATCTGGTGCTTTTCTGGGGAGGTCGCCTTAGGCACTCAGCAGGGATCCACCAAGCAGCCGAAGGCCTGATACAGCCCCAAAGTGCAATGGGATTTAGGTGCCTAAATGCATTAGGCTGCTAGGAAAATCCCAGCCTTTGAAGCTTAAGTAATCACTAACAAAAACGAGCTAAAAAGTGAAATAAAATGAGTCTGGCTAAGGCTGCCATGCAGGCGCTGCATCCTCTGAGTTCTGCACCTGAAACCAAGCAGCAGGAGGTGGCCATGGGCAAGCAGCATGGGATGAGCAGAGCTCCATCTCTTTGGCCCCACCAGAGGTTGCAGGTTGGCCCCTCTGAGCCATTCCATCCATCTCTTCTGCTTGCTCCTGCCAACAGGTGTGTTTGCCCCTGCAGGAATGGTCCGGGCCACTTGGCTGCAGCCATCCTCACTGTGAGAATTTATGAAGAAAGCATTAAAATTGCCTCTCGTTGTTGTTGTTGAGAGGAATTTTAGGACATTAAAAGTTGGAGAAGTCATCTTCATTACTTCTCTTTAAAGTTCCTTATGAATTGAGAACGGCTCTGCTCATATTTCTCTTTTATTTGCCATCTCCCCAGGCTAAAGTGTTGTCTATTTATCTTACAGATTAGGTTACTTTTTATGGGGTTCCTGCTATTATATTTCACCTCTAACTTTGTTAGTTTGTGTTTGATATTAAATTATGCTGAATAAAATGTGCGGCTCAAGGACATTTTTCAGCCTCATCCTGAAATGAGGCTCTTAATCCTGTTTCTGGGTCTGCCCCTGCAGTTCAGCCTACGGGGATGATTTGGGGTCTGTGAGATGGGCAGCAGAGGAGCGTTTGCATCCGTGCTGAGCTTTGCAGGGTGAAGCTGCAGAGAGCCGTGCCTGCGAAAGCCGTCTGTTCACATACGGTGATTTTGGAGACAACTCTTTAGAAATGAGTTCTAATAATACTGGCACCGTCACAAGATAAGATCCAGGACTGGTTAAATCACAGCCCTGCAACTGGGTGCTCCTTTGGGGATTAGAAGAAGGCGCTGAGCTGTCACTCCAAAGCTGATCATGGGCTCGTTTAACTATGTCATCCCATAAGACAGCCCTTTCAATTATGTCAACCTGTCTGCTCTCCCTAGACTCTAATTTTAGAGCAGCAGTAGCTAATATTCTTGGAAAACTGATCCGCCTCCACAGATCTCTCCTCTCTGTCTGCTGCTGTGAATGGAGTATCCTGTGGGGAGACGGGGCTGCTTTACTTCCCCTCCTGTAATAATCCTAATAAAAATAGGTACCATTAGGTTCCTCCGTGTGTGGTCTCTTTAAGACACTTATCTGAGCTATGTAATGGAGATGTCTCATCTCCTCCACAGAGGGACTGGTAGCACCATGGGGTCATTGCAATAAAAATAATATTCTGTTTTAAAAGCTCGGTATGGAATTACGAGCAGAAAAGCAGGATGATGGGATGGGAGTTCAGGGACCTGGAAGAGGGAAAGGTGAACCGGGGGCAGCTGAATGTTAATGGGGCCACCAGGCTGCTTCCGGCTGGTGCAGGTGGGTATGGGGGAGCAGGTGGCCTTGGGGACACCATGGACAGGCAGTTGTGTGTGTCTGCCTGGTGTGTTGGGGCACACAGGGAGGAGAGGAGATGGATGTCAGCATGCCTGGGCTGTGGGCATCTTGGTTCATTGTATGTCAGCTTGGCAGGAAGGGGCCATTTCTGTCCTTCTCCAGACCAAATTGTTCTGGGGGCCCTGTTTGAAAGAACAGACATTCAGAAAGCTGGGAAAGGGCATGAATGTCTTCTGAGGTGTTTTATTCACCTTTAGAATGCTGTACGGTTTCAAAGACATCCCACATTGGTGAGGTGGGATGGATGATGGCAATTTACCAACTGCGGAGCTATCAAGAGGGAATCCCAAGGGAGACAGGGAGAGGACAAAGAGCAGAGCCACGGAGAAAAGAAAACACTGAAATGCTGAAAAGAAGTAGAAGGGGTGGAGAGGAAAAAGAGGAGGAAGGCAGGTGACCCCATCCGTCCCCTCCAGCATCACCACTGCGCTGAAGGCCCTCTGCAGCTCAGGCTGCACAGCATCCACAGCTCCCCCAGACCCAGCGAGTTGGTTACACGGAGCTCTCCGTTCACAAATCCATGTTGGCTGCCCTTAATCAAATTCTGCTTCTCAAGCAATTTCCCTTGCTAATTCCTCCTGAACCAGTTCTAACCCACCTATCCCCCTTGTTGCTAAGCTAGCCAGCCTCTAATCACACGCTGCACTCTGATCCCTTCCTGAGTAATGCGGGGTTCGGCGCGTTCCTCCCGTTCTCAGCAGCCTAACCTGTCAGGAGCAAACTTCTAAAAATATCACTAAAGACCTCGGCTAATTTCTAATCCTCGTTTCTATTAAGATGGCTGCCTGTGCTTCATGGGTTTCCAGACTCGGGATTTACAGACTTCCTTAAGAGTATCTAATCTGTGCACAGCCGTTCCCATTGTCATCCACCAGCGGGCTCCTCCTTCCCACCACACAACTCGATCCCTTTCACAGCGGCTCTGCAGGCTGCACAGTGCCTGAGCCCATGTGCCAGCATCAGCCTCTTCGTCCTGCCCCGCTCACCCCACTCCTCTGGGCAAGTCTTCCCCATCAGATTTTGGGGTCCCAGTCCCCTTGGGTGCTGGGTGGGTGTGGAATTTTCTTTGTGCTTCCCATGTCCTGGAATATTCTGTAAACAGTGTAATGGTGCTGATGAATACACGTATAATGCAGTGAAGGTCTTGAAGCTCCTTGTGAGGCTGGACTTTTCACTGTAGTTTGTATTTGGGTTTTTTTGTTTTGCTGTTCTGTCATGCTTTTCAACACTGTTCCATCCCCAGCTGTCAGAAACCAACCGAGATAAGAACAAAGTGGGGGAGGCCATGCCCTGGCCTCATCCCCAATGAAAATGATGAAGCTGACTCAGCTCAGCCAAGAAATCCTTTTAACCACACGGCAATGGCCAAGTGAACCTGGCGGAAGATGCTGTGTGACTGCATTGCCCCATGCCAGACATGTCTGTGTGCTGAGAAGAGGACAAACTGCTCAGGCTCTCCTTGGACTTGGAACCACCAGCATCTGCATCAAACCCAACCTGAGGAACTGACCATCAGCAGACCAACAGTGCGTGATGGTGATGGAAACATCCACCAGCAGATCAACACTGTGTGACATCTGATGGAAACATCCACCACAATTACAGAATTCTCTTCTAGGACAAAGGCAGATGACAGCCTTAGAAATTCAAAGCAATGTCAACCTGGTTCAGCTGCTGCTTGCCCAAACATGGCGAGGAGAAAATAAGCCAGGATCAACGCTGCCTTGAGGGCAGGTGGCCAGAGAAGCTTTTAAACTGGAAACTTTATGAGTTTTTTTGTTGTTTATTTTTTTTTTTTTTTTTTGTCATGAGATCACTGGGGATGTGGGACAGCCTTCTGATGGGAATAAAGTTTTAATGCTATTTTTTTTCCTGAAGGGAATTCCACGAAGTTGTTACGTGCGCAATGGATGCTGAGTGTGATGACCCAGGAAGTCTCTTCTGACACCAGGCTTCTCTACCCAAGTTCCTGCAGCCATGCTGGGCAGCAGGGCAGCACTCAGCTGGGTTCAGCACTGCCTCTCACACCACTGCCACCCAAACGAGGACATCCCACGGGGCTGCACCATGTCCCAAGGTGAGCTGTGAGCTGAGCCCAATGGACGCGGCACATCCACCCAAGGAGCCCCTGTGCCGCAGGCGGGGAGATGGAAGCACAACCCAAAGGACGGCGGGAGGCTGCACTGTACCGCCATTGCAGCTGTTCATTGGAGAAAGGGCTTTAAATGAGGACCGTTGGTAAAATCTCGAGTCCGGGTGGGAAAATGAACCTACAGAGTGCCTGGCTTCGGTTAGATCCAGCGCGGCGTGATGTCAGCGCACACCCAGCACTCACATGAACGCCACGTGGCACTGCTGCAGTACCCAACATCACTGAGCCGACAGCCCCTGCCTCCACGCAAAGCGAGCAGCCGGCAGGCGGAGCACGTGAGGACACTCCGCAGCTCCTGCTGGAACAGCAGCGTCGGACACCAAGCCGTGCTGCCCTGCGCCCCGCGCCCCTTGCGCTCCGCCACCGCCGCGCCCCCCCGCGCATGACTCAGCAACGCCGTTCCGGCAGCTGATTGGTTCCGCACCTAACGAGAAGCGCGGGCGGTGACGGAGGGACGCCATTGGCTCGTTCCTCCGTGACGTCATCGGGGGTGGCCGGGAGGCGCGGCGATTGCGTTGCGTTGCGTTGCGTTGCGTTGCGTTGCGTTGCGTGGCTTTCTTACTTACAAAATACTGTGCAATTCTTCTCAATGCAATGCATTGCATAGAATAGTGTAGAATAGAATAGAATAGCACAGTGTTTTGTTCTGAGATGTTGTTAATGAACTTAAGGATCTCCTACTTTTTAATGAATGGCTTCTGCTCCGGGCCATGGCTTTGTATTTCAGCTTCTGTTTTATGACTGATGCCTTGCTAAGTGTCCTGAGCTACACGTGGCTTGTGCTTGGTCTGCCTGCATAAGCTGCCTCTTAATCCTGTTCACTGTTGGTGGGGAATGACAAAACCCAGGTATCAGCAGGAAGAGTTTGGGCAAAAAAAAAACACCTTGCTTTGTAACGTGCCTCCAGCATTACGCTGTAAAGCAGTCAGCTCTGCTCCATGAGAATCCATTTTTTGTCTCTTCTCATCTCCCAGATTTCCTTCCTCTGAAATGTGACGCGTGTGGAGAAGTCTTCTGTAAGGACCACATCTGCTATGATGAGCACAGCTGTAGCTCTGCCTGCAAGGCAGTAAGTTCCTGGGTATGAGTCAGTGAGCACCACTGCAGGTCACCGAGTCATGCAGGAGGGCTGCTCTGAGCCTCCACCTGTGGTTTCTATGAAAGCAGGTGGAAAAACCACGGGACAGCAGCTAATGATGCAGCAGAATTGCAGCTGTATCGAAGCACAGCCTTTCTGAGCTCACTTCTAGACTGTCTTTCTTCTCGCTCGTTTTGCTTCTTCACAAAGAGGAGTGCTTGATACTCTTAGCACTGTAGTGTGGCCTAAGACTTACCGCAGAAGAAATAAATTGAGTGAGGGAGAACGCTGATCTCTGGCTGATACTCGAGTGCATGTAGTGCTCAGTACTCCAGAATCATATTTAAAATGAATTTATTGGATATGCTGCTATAAACTCATTTGGCAAAGCACTTCTGGCCTTTTGGATACAGATTTGCAACTGCCTTCCTGAAAATCCTCTTCAAGAGAATTAATGAATAGAACATAACATACTTATGAATATACTTCCCATCACCCACGGGTAAGAGAAAGGGAAGGGCAAAGCAATATGTGTCAGGCTTCTGATTGGTGTGGTGTGCTCTCAGGATGTGCAGGCTCCTGCGTGTCCACTCTGTAGAGCACCTGTCCCTGTACAGAAGGGTGAAGTACCAGGTATTGTGGTTGGAGCCCACATGGATAAGGACTGCAAATACAATCCAGGACAGCAAAAGGTAAGGAAACTGCTGTTGGAATCTAAGCAGCCTGCTTAATGCTTGTCAAGCTAGGTCTTCTGACAGCAGAGCATGCAGGAGCTTGCTGTTCAATCTCTGTTTTAAGGGCAATCCAGCATTCATGCTTCAGCTTCGTTGTTACCTGGGAAGCTGATCATAGAAAGCAAACAATCATTGTTAACTTCGTGTCCTCTGTTATCTAGATCTTCACAAACAAATGTTTAAAGCCAGGCTGCAAAAGGAAAGAGAGGATGAAAGTAGTTTTGTGAGCAGCGTGGTGGCAACTTCTGCATAAAGCATCGGCATCCTCTGGATCATGACTGCAAAGCAAGCAGCTGCCCCATCTCCAAGGCTGGGTGAGCTGCAGCTGTGGTACTCAGAGCTCAAGCTGAAGCCTCAGAGCTCAGCTCAGGGCTTGGTGGGGAGCTCAGGCAAATAAGGAACAACGTAGACCACTGGTCACCTGAGTTAAACAGCCCTTAGTTCCTCTTTGAATCTTGGGCATAATTCTTGATAGTCTGAGCCAAGGAAAAAAGCTTCTTCTCAAACAACTTCCTAAAATTCTCCCAAGTTTGCTTAACTTGATAGCATGACTTTTTTAAAAAGCCCTGAGAACAGGTGCTGGCCATCTGCAGCACTGTTTGGGCTCTTGATCTAAATACTGGAATCCTAAAGCTTTGCACAGAACCTTAAAGTAACCGGGAATAAAATCAATGGCTTACTAACCTAATTAGCTTACTAACCTAATTTTAAACTAAAAACATCTCTTGCAGGCAGACAAAACATCCTTGTTCTGTGCAGTAGGAGTGTAAAGTCTGGATGTCAGATGCAGATAATTAAACTGGATGAATGAATGAGACTGAGGGTGTGTTTAAGTGGTGCTGAGCCTGGCCGTGTTTCTCTGCAGATCCCCAGCTCTGATGCGAGCCTCTCAAACTGCCTTCAAGTCAACGGGAGCAATTGCAGTGCCATCTAATGGGAACCTTCAGCACAACAGGTGTGAGCTGTGGAACGAGGGAAAGATGAACGAGGTTTATAGAACACTTTTATGTCAGCACAGCATAGCAGCGCTGCTGTCACACCTTGAGCTGCTGCAGGGTTGGTAGTCGACCTTTGATCAGGAATGCAGCAGGGTTCTGGTAGCACGGGGGAATGCTTCTCCACACTGCAGGAATTAAAATGGCTGTGTAGATGCAGGCATGAGGACACAGAGTTGCTCCTTGGGCCAGCAGGTTGTCTCCCGCTGGCTCAGTATGAGGCTTTTGGTTCAGTTTTGAGAGCTGGTGCTTCTTCTGAATGCTGAAAAGCACAGTGAGCCTCTGAATGAATGGCCTGAGGCCTTCCCTGCCATGGTGTATCTCCTTGTGACCACAGGTTTTAGTGGTGTGGCTCTCACAGTGCATTCTTATGTCTTTCAGGTGCAGATGATAGAGGCTCTTCACATGTGGATCAAACCTTTGTCTACTTTTAAGTTAATCTCATCAGAAGCTCTTTTCTATGCAAGTAATTTATTTTTCGTGCAATCTCTTAGCCTTTCAATAATCTGTCACCCTTTCTAAGACTTTGTTTCTTTCATGATATTACAGCTTTTCTTCTAAGAAAAACACTTGAGGAAATAATAGTAAGAAAGTTGAAATTAAGTTGAAACACGGCCAGCTTTGTTTAGGTCAAGCAAGGCTAAACTGAGTGTCTCCTAAGATGGGAGTCTGAAATACAGGCTGCTGACATAGCTCTCAATCCTTTTGGAAATCAATTGGCACACAATGCAGCGTTCTGCTTGACAAACAACATCTATCAATGTGAAGCTAGTATTCTATAATGTCTCTCTGTTTCTGGATGTTGTTTGGAGTACTTGATTTATAAAGCCATATTCAGTTTTCCTGGGCCCTCCCTAAGCAATTCACTGAAAGGATAGTGCTCACAGAGGCATGCACAGCATAATTCTTCATAATTTATTGCCCCCTAGGTAGGAATGTAGAATGGTGTGGGTGTTTCCTTGTGGTTGGGGCAAAAAGGGAAGCAAAACAGCTATTAACTGTTTCTTGTTGCATATAATGAGGCTGAAATGCAGCATTGTGGAAGGAGCTTACTCTTGCTTTCTTCCTGAAAGGCTTAAACAAAGGCATAACAGATATGCGACATCTATTATCTTCATCAGCTGTATTACCTAGAGGCTCTGCTCTTTAAACTGCAGGAACATCCAGCTGCTTAGCTTGGGGCCTGAAGTATTGCAGCTTGATGAAATGGAAATGTGCTGTTAATGAACAGTGCTAATTCCCCAGCTGCGATCTAAGTAGACCTCTCATCCAACTAATTGTGAGAAAAATGCCAAAGCTTACTGATGATGTCAGGGGGTTAAGACCTCAATTTCATGTGTCATTGGAGCTATTCCTCTGCACTCTGGGGCTGGTAGGCTGGAGCCTTGGCTTAGGACTAACTGAAGGGTAATTGCAGTCCCTCAAATCACCTGCAGCTATGAGCTTCCAATGCCGTTCTGCTGAGCTGGGAGGAATAGCGTAGCAGAAAATATTGCATTCCTTGACCTGGGAAAAATAATCGTTGATAATTCAGCAGGAGATGAGAGCACAACTGCAGTTAATGCACGTACATTCAACCTTGTGGTCTGCCACGTTTGTGTGTAGATCATGGTGCGCTGCTTCTCTCTTTTCAAAAAGACTCCTTAGAGTATGAATGCTAAAGGGAAGCGTGCCTTTATGGTTCCTTATAGGAAAACTGAATACGTGGCCAAAGTATTGACACGTAGGCTTTTTGTCAGGGCAGAGATAAGGTAATTTCTTGATGGCATGGAACAATAAATGAGCGTGCTAGCTCTGTTCACATCTCACCTAGTGGGATTTCATTTCATACAGTGACGTGTTTTTTGGAGAGCGATTAAAGCCCTGTAAAGCTTTCGGCTGGCCAAATAAAATTCGTGAAGCCGGGCGGTAGGAGTTACCGCCGCTAATTCCATGCAGCCTAATTTTACGCAGTCGTGAGGTCTGAATTGTGATAGGCCAATGTCTGTAATACCGCGTTTAGCCACAGGGTGGCGCAATAGGACGCGTAATAAAATCTGATGCTGAGACGGCTAAGCGTAGAGCGCGCTTCCATCCGCGCTAGAACAAAGCCGAAAGGACAGCTCTGCTTTTTAGACAGCGCCCCCTGCCGGCCGCCCGCTGCGCTCAGCTCCGGCGCCGCGCTGCTGGCAGGACTTCGTAATCCCTGTGCGTTGCACGGGGCTGGCGCTGTGCCCCGGTAGGGGAAGGGGCTGCGGGGGGAGCAGCAGCGGGCGCTGGCCGGGTTGGCGTGCTGTGAGGTGAGGAGGACGTGGGGGCGGCGCTGAGGAGCGTGAAGGTTTGCCTCCTCCCGTAGGTGAGGTGCCGGGAGGCGTTGCCTGCAGCCCACAAGGAAGCGTTCCGGTGACACGGTTGTTTTCCTTAACTGTCCCTGCCCGTAAATTACCACGGAGCGCTTTGTGCATGCGGTATTTATAGCGATGGGCATTGGCACGCTGCCGGGAAGCCCTGCCCTGGGAGGTGTTTCCTGTCAGCCCACAATAGCTATGTAAGCTACGCTGGGTGCCTTCACCCGGGCAACGGCGGGCGGGGCGAGCTCCGTGTCCCCGCACGTGGAGGCGGACGGCCGCCAGCGCGCAGCAGCTCGGAGAGGGGAAATGACGCCACGGCTGCCCTCCGCGAGCCGGCCGGGCTCCCGGCATGCGCCCTCTGAGTGGGCGTTCTACACCGGAGCTCCGCTTCCTATTGGTCGCTCGCAGGATTGGCACGCCGAGAGCCAACCAGATGCGCAGATTCCGTCCCTGCAGCCAATGGGAGAGAGGGGGCGGGCTGCGGCGCCAAGCGTGAGGCTCAGTTAAATGTGAGGAGGAGGCGGGCCTGGGGAAAGGTGCGTGGCGGCGTGCGGGGATGCGGTCGTGCTGCGGCGCCTCGGGCCCTTCTCATGCGTATCCGCGGCGGGTGTGGGGCCCCGAGGCCTCTCTGCCCCGCGCGGGCCTGGCCGCAGATGCGGGCCTGCCGTGTGGCGTTCCGCTCGTGTCGGTGTGGCGGGGAAGTGGAACCGCGAGGGCTGCTGATGTGCGGGGATTTGCGCGCGCTGTGGGAGCAGAGGGGCGCGCGGTGCAGCGGCTCGTGGGGTGAGGCGGGGGGGGAGTAGGGGGCGCAGGGCAGGCCGGAAGTCACGTGGTGCCGCCGGCCGGGCACGAGAGTGCTCCGAAAGTAGTGCCTCCTGGTTATCTGCGTGGAAATGGCAACGGATGCGAGGAGTGCCGTAACGCTGCTGGACAGAGCGAGTTCTCAGCTACAGAACGCTGCGTGCCGGCACATCCAGCGCTGTAGCAGAAATGCTGAGTCGTGGCTTGAGGCACTGATAAACACCTGGTGGGAAGGCAGGGCCAGACCAGGGTGGCTCAGGTGCATGCAATGCAATGCAGCTGTGTGATCCGAGGGGTGGAGCCGGGACCCAGCCCTCATGTAAGGGCTGGCAGTGGAGGTGAGAGCTTCATGCTGGAGATCCCTGCCTGAGGCTTTCTGAAAAGTAAGCAGCTTCTTTCCATTATTTCTATGCTCATGGCTGTTGCATTTGAGCAAGCCCTCGCCTGCTGCAGCCTGGGACCTTGCTGCTGTGCTGTCATTGCTGCACTTTCCATCGTGTTACAACCACCTGTGTCCTGTGCACAGAAAGCTGTGCACTTTTACCACCAATGAACAAGAGCCTGCATGCCGTGCTTATAGGAAATCTACACCAATGTAGGTGTCACCACTGCAGAAACACACCACCCACCTCCCGACTGTGCTCACACCCACTGCATAGTCTCCACAAGTATTCAGCAAGCATCAATGAGTGTTAATGAGTGCCGTTTCTTCTACATGAAGGAACTAAGAGATGTATTTTTGCTTCATGTTCACTTCCATGTCAGGTGGCCCTTCTGCTGCCATCTGTCACACAGCAGTAAAATCTCATGGGATCTTGGTGGGAAGTTTCAGCTTTTACTGCCATCCCACCAACATCCGTGTCTGACACTGGGGGCCAGTGTAACAAAATAGGAGGCGTTACTTTCGGAGCAGCCCTTCTGTGCTGCCTACAGGTGGCAAGGCATGCTGCTACTGACCTGCTTCCCAATGCTGCACAGCTCTGCTGCCCTGCTGCTGAGTGCAGCACAGACTGCGTCAGTTGTGGGTGCTGGGCTCTCACAGAGAACAGAAGCTATGGAGTTTTTTAACAGGGGAGTGATATTCTGGTTTTGCAGCAGCTGAACTGGATCGTATTATGAAAGGAAAAAGCTGAGAATGCCCCCAAGTTAATTGAAGTTCAATGCAAACGAGCGTTTTCCTAGTTAAGATATAATTCTTGTGCTAGTGTAGACCCTGTGTATGAGGTTTGTATGAGGTATGTTTAAGATTTAAAAAAAACAAAACCAAAACCACAAAATGAAGAGTTGTAATGGTGCTTTGATTGTTGGTAATTAGACAGTATCCTTTTTCAGAATGGCGAAGAAGAATATACAAACCAAAGAAATGAAAGAAGAGAAAAGAAAAAAGCTAAAGCGACGTGTGACCCAAAAGGGAGAGCTGGAGTCAGAGGCCGAACCGAAGAAAAAGAAACGAAGTCTCCAGGTAGGTCGTACTGGTTTTCACTGTTCAATTCAGTGCAGTGTGGGTAGGTTGTTACCTGTGGTGTTCATAGCAGTCTGAGTCCCCCATGTGATTCAGTTGCAGTTGTCCCTTGTATAGGGGACGTGTATGGGGGATTCCACTTTTGCCTGGAGTGAAAGTGAAAAAGAGAAGGTAAATGGAGCAAACATCTTGGGCTGTGTCTGATGGTTTGGAATACTTGTAGCAGTCAGAGTCTCTCATCTGAATGCTTTTATGAAAGACAAAAGATGAGTGAGAGCGTGTGGGTGAGAGGGGAGCCCAATGGCTCTGATCAGCTGTCATATGGCAGTGGAGGCGTAGCTGAAACCTTCATGTGATTCTGAGTGGCTGGAAAAGCATAAAGGTTTTTTTCATGGAAATCCTGTTGGTATTTGTACAGAATGTCGAATGGCCAGAAGGTGTCAGCAGTCTCTTTGTGCAATGAAATATTTGATGAATTGATTTTATGATAATGAGGTTAACAATATTGAGATGTTAAGTAGAAACTAAAGGGTGTCCATTTTTTTTCTAATGGAAACGGTGCATAAACAAGGTGACTTAATTCAGTTCTTCCAAGTGCTTAATGTGGAACGTGGATCAAAGGAAGGAACGTGGTTTGATCATATAGCAAAGGGGAGAACAAAAGGTGAAGTTCTGTTACTTAGGATAAGCCATGGTCTCATAGGACACGGTTACCTGACATAAATGTGAGAGCTGTGTGTTGCTGTCATTACCATGAGATGTGTGATTCAATAGAGATCACAACTAGAATATAGCACTACTTATTTTATTGTTGTGCTCTACCTGAGCATACTGGCAATGCTACTTCTTTCTGAGAGCTTTTGCTTGTGTGCAAGTACTGCATGTGTCTGCAGTTGTTGTGAACCATGAGAAAAGCCAACCTATGGGCAGCAGCTGTTTGGAGGTCTGTAAATACCTGTGGTTTTGAACACAGCAGGAATGTGCTGAAGTAAGGAAAGAGTGCACAGTGCACTTTGGTCTATTCCAAAGTAAAATGGCAAGTCTCTTATGTGTAGCTTCATAAAAGGAAATGTTTCTCCTTCTCTTTGTAAGGTGTGCGTTACAGACTTCAGATTCATTATAATGTAATTCAGTTTGTGTAGAAATGATTTTCCAGGGTAAGAAGTGTGAAACGGAAAGTCAAAATTAAGGTGATGTTGTCTGATCTTTCTTTTTGGACCATCTGATGTCACCTGGTCAGCTTGTAGGAGGCCTGGATCAGCTCTTGTTGTCCTTGCAGGCTGTAGGACAGTGAAAGAGAAAGCAAATATGAAATGGAAAGCAGGCTCCTTAGTGCTGCTAGGGAGCATGGCTAGGCACAGCGTTCTTAGGACTATAAATGTTGGTGTCAGAGGGTGGCTTAAACATGTATCTGGTGTTAGTTTTAGGGAATGCCATATAAGGTCTACGAGAAGCTATTTTTTGGCATCAGCTTTATAAACTATAACTGTTGATAGTAGGAAAGTGTAAGTCAGTAGACCACATTTTTTATTTGAAATGGCTGGCAAGGATGAAAAACATCAGGCAAATCTTAAGCAATTTTACTGCAGAAATGGTCAATGAGTGTCAGCTGTATCCCACTTTGACTGTTGCTCGTGTGCACTCCCAAATTAGTGTGAAATAGCAGTTAAGTCACAGTGGCGTGCTTTAAAACGCTTTGGCAATCAGGTCTTGTCAGTGTGCAAGATGCAGCTGAAAACAAGTCAAATTTGCTGTGCATATATAGGAAGGTGAGAAGGAGCACTCGAGAGAAGCAAGCTGCAGAGTGATGGGCTCTGGTAGCTGGATGGAACAAAGACAACTGCTGGGAATGCTCTGCTACTTTAAAGTAAGCTTAACCTCTGATAGACCTGCTGGAATTGCTGAAGTATGACAGCTGGATTCTGATTCTGTGCTGGATTCTGTGCTGCGGTGGACTTCTAATGCAGGAACTGAAGTGAAGAGAACTTTTTTTTGGTGTTCTTAAGGCAAGAATTGGTAGGTCCCAGTTCCTTCCAAGGAGTCTCATGTGATGGAAGTAGGTCAGAAGATAGCAGCACGGCACGCTGCTTGTGGAGGGGGAGTTTCCACTGGGTCATTCAGTCACTTTTCTTTCCCATGATTTACTTTTTGTCCTATTCTGTTACAGCACTTTCAGTCTGCAAAGCGGAAAATGTAAATCTCTAAATGATTTTGTGACAGAGCTGCAGGCAGGCGCGTTGGAATCTGTCTTAAGTGACCGAATTTATTACACATTGATTATTCCTTCATGGAATTTATCTCAGAAATTTTCAGCAGCCTGAGATGAAAGCATTTTTCCTTGGAACAGCTTGACCTTTTGGAGCAATCTTGATGCCTTATTGATTTTCATCTTCTCAGTTTCTTTTCTTTACGTTGAATAGCAGTGAGTGATTCAGGTACCACAGAAGTGTTTCCATGAATGATCTCAGAACCACGTGGCTCTGCGTGCCAAATCCGAGTGGGGCTCAGCAATGCAAGTTTTTAGATTGAATTTCCTTTGTGTTATTTATGTATCTTTACTGATTTTCATAACATTGCTGTTCTATTGAGCTACTTGGCAATAAAACCCACGTGTCTTCAACATTGATTTTTAAAACGCCTGGGCATTAGTGTCTGTGTATTTAATGATTTTGTAGCTTACCAACACGGCCTTACATTAAACCATACTGTAATTGGAGATTATTCTTTATATTGTCACATAATATAGGCATAAAGAAAAGAAATTTGCAGTATGCCTCCTAGACTGGTGGTCTGGAGCTGAATGCTGGCTTCTTAAAGAAGAACTTTCTGATGGGCCTTGTCTGTGACAAATGAGTTTTGTCTCGGCTCCATGGCAAGAATATTCATGATATTTTATCTGTCGTGTTGGAGTAACAGAAGCATTGGAAGTGCTTGTTTGCAGTCACTCGTGCCTTGCTTCTGTTTATGGATTTCTTCACCCTTCAGATTTCAGCTGCCTTGGTGCTATGGAAGCGTACTGAAAAGCAGAACTGACGTTAGGAGCCTTGTAGGCAAGGAACGTGGTGCAGTGATGGCTTTGGTTGTGAAGGCTGTTGGCGTTGTGCTGAGAACGACCTCGCCGTACCAAAGGATCTTTTGACCTTGGGACATAAGGGCTGCTGTTCCTCCAGGGCTGTTCTCAGAGCTGCAGGCTTCCTGCAGAACAGTAAGAAATTCTTCCAGAGTTGAACATCTATTAAGCAAGAGACTCAAAATTGATAATCCATAGAAAACAACGTTAATTTCCTCTTCCTTCCCAATTTAGTCTAGCAAATGTTGTAACTTCAAGGAAAATTGAGTAAGAGCCAGTCAGGTCATTATAAATCAAATCCTGTTGTTTGTGGTTGAAGGGTATTTTGTGTAATGCTCATGCAGCATTGTCTGTTCCTTGTCATCTTCAGCAGTGCTGGTGGTTGGAGGAGGAGGAATCAACATTTCCCCCAGATAAAGGCAAATTCAGTGGGAAAGGAATTTAATTTTTGAGATTCCATACAGGCAGTACAAACAATGGCAAATAAACAAGTAGCTCAGAGCGTTTCTTTAATCAGAGGGCTGCTGTGCAGGTGCCCAAACAGTAAGTTCTGTTTGCTAAATGGAAAATGGCAAACTTAGTAGGGAAAGTGTTTTTCTCTTCAGCCTTTTGGGGATTGTGATAAAGACCAACAAGGAGGTACTAAACTCATCCTGCAGCAAAGCCAACCACGAAAAGTGATTCTCTAAAATCATTGTTTTGTGTGCAGGAGAGGAAAACCCCCCACAGACCACAGCTGTGGAGGTGAACAATTCTGGTGTGAGCTTGGTGGAATGCTTAGGAGTGCTGCTTTGATACGATCTCTAATGCTGCTTGTAATCAGGTAACTGGGGGAGTAATATGAATGGTTAATGAATGCAAACCAGACGTTTGTGGCGTAAGATCCATCAAGCAGATAATGTAAAGCTCTCATCAGAAAGTGTATTTCTTTCTTTGGCAGCCCACTGATTCATACTAAAGCCTGTTGGTGGAATAAAGAGCTGCGGATGGTTTGCAGACAGTCTATGAGTCCTGTCTTGTTACTTTGATTGATTTATTGGTTCATTTTGGATGATGTGAAGCCTTTTGCGTAACCACCAAAATAAGCTGCATTTTCCACCCTGAGCTGCGTTGTGAAGTTGCCCCTCAGTGCAGGTCCTCCTGCATTTGTACAGTTTTGCTTTACTAACTTAATCCCGCGTGCTGTGCTTAATGTTATCCACGTGGTCATTTTAAAGAGATATTTAGAGAACTGGTCTTCCACATTGGGGAAAAAAATAAAAGGAAAATAGATTACTGAATATATATTTTTAGCTAAAGTGAGGATCTTGTAGTGTTACTACAGTAACAGTAGTGTGTAACAGTAGTGTGTAACAGTAGTGTGTAACAGTAGTGTGACTACACAGCTTGCATTTCTAATGTGCAAATAGAGCTGTGTGTGTTATGAAGAGAAGATGACACAATCTTTCATCCCTGCCTCGACGCAGGGGTGCACCAGCAGTTGTTTTGTTGGGAGGGATAACTCTGGTGAATTAATGTCTCTTTCTGGTGATAAGGAGGGGAAGATAGCTCCTTCTCAAGGCAAACCTAAATGTCAGTAGGGATGTTAATGAACTTTCGTTAGCCTGCTGGTCTTGGCCAGCCTGCAATGGAGACTTTGGGCCCATTCTCTCTCCTTCCTGCTGGTTGCTGTTACTGATGTCAGTCATTCTCTGCCTTGCTCCAAGGTCTCCCTGCTGGCCCTGAGCTTCTGACTGCTGCTCCACAGGACAGCCCTGTGATGGCTGAAAGCAATTACCAAACCGGGACCCCATTTGTGACTTGCTGTGTGGGATCCTACGTGTTTTGTCTGCTTTCTTAATATCTATGCGATATTATTCAAATTAGGGGAAAGGGAATAAAAAAACAAACTCAGAGGGCAGCTGCTTATGGGACAGAGCTCTTTGCTTCCTGCTAACACTTCTTTCTTAGAATATTGGTAGAGTTGGTACAAATTATTTGATTGAATTAACCACGTGTTTATTTATCTTTCAAAAGAAGTGAATTTTTTTGTCACACCACATCGTGTTTGTAGGGAACGCGAGGCCTTCTGTAAACAAACATGTCTAAGAAGGTACAAAATAACGTCTGACATACGGATATGCATAGATTAGGCAGAATAATTTCACATTCCTTTGAAAATTATTTTTGTAATGGTACGAGTCGATTTCCCAGGAAAGAGTGTTCACAGCTGGGAAAACAGTTGCTGCTTTGAAGATGGTTTTCCCAGGCGAAAGGCTCACGTCCCCAACTGTGTTTGGGATAAACAACGCGTGGTGCATTTCTTACTTTGGTTTAAAGGAATTGGGCATTTTTCAGCACTTATTAACCAGCAAAAGTGCTGTGCTCACTCTGGGTATTTGCATTAATCTGTATACGTCCAAATGTAGTTCTTTACTTTTCCTCGTGCCCAGGGATTGAGGTGATGAGAGTTCAGGGGTGGAAACACAACCGTTCCTGGTTTGCCATCAAGAGGGGAAATTCTTTCTCTTCTTGGAGCACAACTGACGTTTCCTTTCCGCTCTCGCTCTTTACTCAGTGGTGAGAACTTTCCTTGACTGTTCTTGCTAGGCTTCCAATATAAATCCTTGCTTTCATGACTTAGCTGCACATATTTTCAGGAAACTGGAGCTCAGGGCAGGGTTCCCACTGATGGCTGAAGCTTCTGTGGATGCTGAGAATCGCTGAGGTCAGGAGCAGGGGCAGGTGATAGTGAATGCCACCCAGCTCCACTCAATGGAGAACGCTGCTGTTGTGCCTTTGTCAACTGTGCTTTTGTTTACTCATTCTCTGTTTCTGGTTCTAGCTCATCATAGAGGCAAGATGACTGGAAACTGCTAGAAAAGGCCTGAATTACCTAATATAAAAAAATAGGCCCCAATCTTCAGAAATAAAATGCATCTGATTATATGTGTGAATTCTCAAAACATTCTACTTGGCAAGAAGTTACGCTGTAAGCTTGAGAGGATGAATGTTTACTACGTATTGCTCTTGGTAGGGCTGGGGGCATGGAGTGTGTGCACTGTGACAGGGCTGCAGACTGAATCCTTGGATCTGCTCCTTCCTCTTGATTGCTGCTGGGTACAGTTTTATAAATGTTAATTTATCTAAAAAAAGAGAAAAAAAGGCGCAGACTTGAATGTTTAAAGTCAGGTCAGTGTTAAAATCAGCAGCTTTCCCAGTCCTTGACAGAATGCTGCTGCTTTTGAAAACCAAATGGGCATAACGAGGATTTTTATGAAATACTAATTATTTGATGGAATCTATTATACAACACAAAGCCTTTCTGAGTAGATGGGGCAGCGATGGCTGCTTCTGCAGTATGGATGAGGAACTGGTGTTATTTCACCAGGGTTTTCCTTCTCCAAAATCCCCTTTGCATTTAGAGGCAATATTGAGAGCCATGTGAAAGAGCAGTGTATGTTTGTATATGTTAATTGATAAATCACAGTATAGATAACATGGCTCTTGTGTAGTAGATCAAAGCCATGTAGATGAATAAATTCTTATAAGATGCCTGTGTTACATCCAACAAGTAATTAGAACAGAAAATTAATCTTTGGACTTGTAGAAGCTGCCTGAAGTGTTGCGTGTACAAGCATGAAGGTATTTGACAGGAGAGCCTCTTACCTAAAGAACCAGACCCTGCCTTTGAATGCATTCCCTACTTCTAATTGAATCCCACTAGAGTTCTGTAGGACATGAAGCAGATGATCATCATACGATGTTTTATTGAATTTTCAGCATTATCTTAATAATTTGCATCTGTGAGGCAGGCTTTGCAAACAGCAAATGTACACAGGGGAAGATGGAGAGCTCTGCCCCTACACCCTTTGTGTTTGAAGCACCTCAGAGCCATTCAGACAATGTGCTGAAGAATTAGAGCTGCATCACCTGGAATGGAGCATGGAGTTTATATGAAAGCATGCAAGGAAGACGCATGTTTTTAATAACTGTCGTTCTATTCTACCTTTACATTCCAACATAGCTAATAATAAATTTAAACAATTTGTGTTTTATATTCTGAAAGCTTTATTTTAATAACCACGTGTTCTTATATCACGGTTAGGGTCAGTGAACTATCTTCATTTAAAATGTATTTCCCTCTTTACAAAGAGTGGTCTGGATTAAGTCATGCTCTAGTTTGGGTTTACAATAGCAATGGCCAGCTGTCCCAAACCTGTTGGTCATACAGGAGCACCTTCTGGCCAAGAGCTGAAAGGCTTTACCCTGTAGCAGGGGATGTTGAGTGGAGCAGAAGTCTCAGGGACCAGGGGCAGGATTGCCAAGGATGCTTATGCAGTCCCTGTTGTGGGCTGAGCACATGCTTAGCTTCTGTGCCATCTGCTGTCAGTGTCAGCAGCTCTCAGCCTGCAGCTCTGCGCTTGTGATCCATGGATCACCTCTGCAGTGCCACATCACCACCTCTCCTGCACCACCATAAGGAAATAGCTCGTTGCTTGTCTTGCTGTTCTAAGAGTGTTCAGCTTTTATTGATATCAGAAGTAATTCTTCTGAACTCCTGTCTTTGAAAGCCAAGGAAGCTTCTAAATTAAGTTCTTGCAGGTATCGCTCTTTGCATCTCCTTTCTGTCTTGGCCAACCCACAGGTTGATGTTTGGAGCATGGGACAACACTGTGAGAGATCTTTCTTGGGTTTCTCCCCATTTGCACTTGTAACTGAATAGTGGCACACAAGAGTTAAACAGTTGCTGCAGTCAGGTAAGGCTATTTCTCTTCAGTTCTGAGTGGAAGAGAATGAATAGAAGAAAATCTCATTTGCCATTATATTTCTGTTTCTATTGAGAGAATATCCAGTAACGGAAATGTTGCTGTGGTTGAGGCAGAAGGCATCCATCTCTGCTGCTATTAGACAACCAGTGAACTCCTGTCAGAATAGCCTTCATGCCATTGCTAGGGCTGATTTAACAGTACCCCAACATTTTTCCTGTTTCTCTATTATGTCTTTGTTACGGAGTGTTGCTGAAGTCCTTCCAGAAAACATGTTGTGCAGTTTGAGAGGATTTTAAGCCTTTGGAATGATTTTGCTTGCAGGTCAAGCATGGAGATTTCTAAACAGAGTCATTGCTTTTGAATAGCTTATCCTGCTGCATTACATCCTTACTTAGGGTATGTGCATTTAAAAATGTAGGGATGGCTTTTTTTATAGTGAATAACTCAGTAGTTTGTGAAATTAGAACTTACAAATTTCTGTGTATGTTTGTGGGAGACAGTGCTTGAGGGATTTGGAAAAGCAGGTTGAAAACTTGGCTCGGTTTTATCACTGGAGTTAAGTGACTTTGAATCCTTCCTAAACACACAGGCTACTTGATGAGGCTGAGACAAGCATCTCTGGATCTGTTGCAGTGGAATGAGCTGTGTGATGTAAATAACCAAGGCAGCAGCGAGATGCTGAGTGAAAGGCAGTGAGCTGATCCTGCAGGGCCTGAGGTCCTGAGAAGGCACTGCTTTCTTGTTGTCAGCTTGGGTGGCTGGCTCAATCTGCAGCTGCTCCTTCTTGGCTCCTGGCTGTGTCACACTGCTGTGTGGTGAAATGGAAGCTAAAAGGCAAGGGCTAAAACTTCCATGTATTGTATGTCAGTGGAGAATAAATAGTTTGGAAAATACCATTTTTTCCAATGGTAGGGAAGACATCAAAATTATAAACATGAATGGGGAGTGCTCAGATTTTCAAATCCGATGTGTGTCTGTAAGATGCAGCTCATGGCACGGGTCACTGCCTGTCACTGTGAACCTCTCTGACAGCAGAGTTTGAGAGTACAGGCAAGGTTGTCTGTGCACACATCTTAAAAATGGCTTGTTCCCTATCATATGTTACTGCAGATGAAACATTAAGAGAAAAAAAAAGATAAAATGCATTTCTGAGGTGGAAATGTTTATTGGAGATGTGCTTAATAAACAGAATGTAATAATAATAATAATAGCTTAATCTAAACAGTCTGAACGAGAAATGTCTGTGTCTGGCTGTGTAGTGATGGGCTGCTGTAAGAGTAATTGGTAACATGAGAGTAAACTTGTTGCAAAGAGATAATTTGATTGATTGAATTCAGCCATGAATTTAGCTCTGTGCTCTTCTGTGTTGGAAGTCCCAAACATCTGTGCAGTGTTCTGAATGAGCGGGGAGAGGCTTTTGGATCGGAAGGGAAGGGCAGAGTCCCCTCAATTCAAATCACACCCCTGTTTTCAAGCAAAATGAAGTAAATTCATTGATCCGTTTTCATGAATAACTATTAACATTCAAACCTGCCTTCTGTGTGTGCATCTGTTTCTCCTTTTTGTGTAGAAACAAGTTCAAATGGAATTAAATCATGCTCAAGGTTGAATTCTGTATACTTTCACCTCCTGTAAACCACATTTTCACATAGAAAGCAAAGGTCCTAACCGCTCAGAGTTATCCAGGTAACCTCCTCCCTTTTGCAGTGTTAATGAACAGCTGATGAACTACAGCAATTGGTGACATTAGGGCAATGTAAGAAGAGGTGGTATTTTTTCCAGTTGATAGAAGCAATGTTGAAGACGTTTGTGTTTCAAGATTTCTGCTTTTTGCTTTCTGAATTTGCTCTGTAGCAGCTGTTCCCTTTTGGAATGGATGGGTGAAGCGTTTTTGGATGCGAGCCTTTGGTTTTTGTGTGGACCAGAAGGGGAAAGGAAGGGGCTGTTATTCTCTGCATCTCGTCTGTCCCATGCAGGATCTGGGGTTGTTTGACCCACTGACTCAAATTCCTCGCCACATTCACATCATCAATGCTTTTCACAAATTAAACAGACTTCATCTCGAGACTGACCGTCTCTGCTTTTCATGCCTGCACAATCACCATGTAGTAAATGTCAAACTGCTGAAAGGATGCAGTGAAAGCAACTTTGTGTGATTGAATTACACATTAGAGGAAAAAAACACCACGAGCTTCTGTGAAGAGATGTCATTTTTTCACCTGGGACAACACTTGTCATTTATTTACAATAGCATGTTTAAATTTAGTCATTTCAGGTACCGCTCGTAAACCTGAACCAAAATACCAGCAGCAGGAAGCTCCTCTGGTAGCTCAGGTGTGCAATGTGCTTTTAGCCATATAATGGGATGTTGGATGGAGGAATTCTGTTCTGGAAACTGTACTGCTGCAACCTAAGAGAAGTTGGTTTATTCGTGGAAAGTGCTGGGATTACCCACAGCTGGTATGCTGTGCTGGGGCTCGATGGAAATGCATTGCTGGAAGTGTGATCTGTTCCTTTGTTTGTGCTGTTTGAAAGAGCTGTCTGTCACAGGGGTGTCTGTCTGGGACTGGGATGATTGTTGTTAATTCCAAAGGTGAAATTAATGAGGGAAAATGGACATATGTATCATTTGGAGCAGCATGAGATTTGCTGCTCTGTGTTGTCAAGAAGCTTCCGTACAGAGAAGGCATGGCAGTGCTTGTATCTTTCAAAGAGAAAATATAATTAGTGTTCTACCAGAAAGATGGGAGTAAATGGGAATTTCTCCTTAGCTGATGATTAACAGTCCCTTGGAAGTGGTCAGCTGTTGGGCAAACTCCTCTGTGCTGTTCCTATTTCGTTGTTTCAGGAACATCCAGCTAGTTCCAATGCAGCATCATCTTGGGGCCTCTGCTCACAGGTCAAACCTTTTGTGGCTGCAGCTTCACTATCAAAATGACTATTTTGTGAGAAATATGAGTGCAATCGCCATTTCCTTTGTTGCTTAATACTCTACTCATGGTTTTAAGTGTCTGCATTTTAAAACTCCTTTAGTGTGCTAATTGGCTCATTTGCGATGTTTGAAAGTGGGGCAGATCGTCGCATTCTCTGGAGTTCTGGTGCTCGACGTGGTGAGCACAGAGGTGGAATTAGTTTGTGTATTTCACAGCTGCAGTGTGTGACGGTTTAATGACCTTGTGCACAAATCTCTAGGAACTTTATGGCTTCCTCTGGGGAAGTTCAGCAGTAACCTGCGCTAAGCGTCATCCAGATTTAAAAGCCAGTTCTTTTCTAAAAGAAATTAGAAGCTGTTGTTTTCTAGCTAACGTTTGTTTTCTTAGCATCGTTTGTCTTCAAATGGACAGAGCAACCAACGTGCATTGTAAGGTTCCCAAGACCTGTGCTTTCTGGGGGTGGGGTGGGCAGGGCACCAAGTGCAGATCTGATATGTTCACCTTTGCAGAAGTTCTTCTTTAAAAAGAAAAAAAAGAGAAAAAAAAAGAGGCTTTTTCATTTTTGTAAGCAATTCTTGGCAGTCTTTTGCAGAATGTGACTGCTTTAAAGCCACAGGATGTTGTTCTACCATCTGAATGGGTCTGCTAAGTGGAGACAGATCTTACATGACTTCTGTTTGAGTCTGAAGGGAGATATGGGTGCACATATATGTGCTTGCATTTTTGACAAAAGGCCCATTTATATCCATCCTGAGAAATGCTGTCCTGGGGAATCCTCAGAAGAGCACAGCATTACATTTCACTGCAGTTGAGTTCTTTGAGATGAACCATACAGTGACAGATGATTACAGCTTTGATCAAGCGCTGATGTAAACAGCAGATCAGACTTATGAGACGAAAGCTCATCACCATTCTAGATTGTATTAAGATCAGAAAAAGTTAATTGTGGAAGACATGCTGGAATACAATGATGATAATACTATATAGTTCTCAAAAGCAAAGCCATTTAACTTAACACATTTGGGTAAAAATCAAACTGTTTTCTGCATCTCCACATCAATGTGTTGTAATGATTTTTCCCCACTCTTACTGCAGTTTGGTTGTTTAAGTGGAAGTGCCTTCTATACACCAGCAAAACAACATCTCCGATAATCAAGTTACATCTGGAGTCTTCCTAGCTTGATAAAATTTTCTTCTATATTATCATTCATGCATGTATTATATAAAATAAAGCTCCTCCAGTGCTCAGCTTTTAATAATCCTGCTCTTAATTAAATATAAATCTGACTATAGCATATTCCTCTACATTAAAGTTGTCATAAAAACATTCTGAACATAAACCTTCCACGCTCAGTAGAGCAGTGCAATATATACACAGGCAGGCACGCTTCTTGCTGTTAGTAGTAAGCATTTTGTTCACTATTTGCACAGCTTCACAGTCAGACGTTCTGCACAACAGCCCTAAATCAGACCTCGGATTGCTCATTACTGTCGGGGATGACAGACGTCAGGGCAGCCTGGCAGAACCGATGTAACGTGGACATCTTGGTTTTCTGTTCAATGTACAGCCGCAGTTTGTCTCTGAAGGTTTCCCCTAGGAAACTGTAAATTAAAGGGTTCAAACAGCTGTTGGAGAAAGCTGCCAGGTTCACAATGTGTCCTGTGAGAGGGTAGTCGTGTCTGAAGGACGGGCTGCTGGACGAGGAGGGCTCACTTTTCTTTTGCAGGAGCTGGACGCTAATGAAGACGTTTTCAGGGAGCCAGCAGATAAAGAAAACCAGGACCACAACGAATATCATTCGAAGAGCCTTCTGTCGGCGGAGGCGAAGGCTCCTGTGCTTGTGTGCTTTTATAAGGACTCGAACGATTAATGAGTAACAAAGGCCGATGATCACAAAGGGGATGATAAACCCCAGGGTTATTTCTAGCCACTGGATTTCTTTTACGTCTGCGAAACAAAAGTAGACCTCTCCGGTGTGTTGTAAGTGCACAGCCGTGAATGGCACCAGTGCTGCAGAAATGGATGCCATCCATATGAGACCACAGCTCAACCTGGCGTGTTGCATAGTGCGAAATAGGTTGGACCTCATTACTTTTGCCAGTGCTATGTATCTGTCAAAACTCATCCACGTCAGAAAGAAAATGCTGCTGTACATGTTGATCTGAAGGAACAGAGACATAAAGGTGCATATGATAGTGATATCGTAATACTTTTCGTCAAGATTAAAAACCTCAATGAGAGAATCAGCAACTAAAATGAGGTCGGCCACCGCGAGGTTGATGAAGTAAAGGTCTGGGATAGTCATCTTCTCACGAAAGCTTATGTTCACCACCAGAATCAGAATGTTTCCTACAAAACCGATGGGAAAAAGGAATATTGTGTAAAGACACGATAAGAAAAGCCCAATAATGTACTGTTGGTGTTCTGATTTATCTGCTAATCTAGAAGACAGGCTCTCGTTACACAGATGCGATCCGTTGAGGTTGAAAGTTGTGCTGTTACATATGACAGGTGGGACTGAGGCAGAGTAGGTTTCCATGGTTAAAATACCTGCACAAAAGATAACAGCACTCACAGTTTGGTAGTAATGCCAAAAGGATGAGGTTTTGGGGTGTTTTCAAAGCAGTGAATCGGAAGCATTTTGTTTGGAATGGAAGAAAGCCCGCACTTATAAATAGGAAATTCAAATTCTTCAGAAGCCAAATTAATTAGACTTGAAATTGACTGAAATACAACAGTACAAGAAGTACATTTCTTTCTTTCTTGTTTTCTTACAAGACACTATATGCATTGCAGATGAGAGCACTTGCAGTTCCTGTACGCTGTAAGATCACGTCGGGATCTTTTTACCATAATGGTACTTGGATCATTTCAAAGAAAGGTTTTCATCAGCAGTTCTCCTCCGTGCAGGTCGGAAGATGGCAGAATTCTAGCTCCATTTGTGTTCCGTTAATACTCATTGCACATCCTTGGACCTGCAATTTGCAAATGGAATACTGTTAACCTCATAGTGCAGCTTTCTGCCACGCACAGTGTGCTGCTTCTAACTTCAGGCGTGCAGCTGAGGCTGTAGGAAGTGTCGGGTAGGAAGGGATGTTCCACGGTTCTGTTAAAAGGATTGCAATTAGCTGGAGGTGATACTGTGTTGTGAGGGTAGGTCTGGTAGGGCGTTATAAATCGTAAACCATTCAGTGTTGGAATATGTGGAAAGACAGAAATCAAACGGGAGAATTTGGCCTAATGAAGAGGGTCTATGAATATAAAGTTTATATTGCATGTGCGTATGGTGTGTGTGTGTGTGTTCAGTTCATCAGCAGCTCGTAAGCTTAATAAGTAGGAGAGTGGCTGAGAAAGCAGCGGAGACGAACAGCAGTTGGTTCCTATTGCTTGCAGAGGGAAGGGAATGCAGACTTTAGAAATGAAGGTAGTATAAGCAGCACATGGATTTACACCAACATCAGTTTGCTTTTCTTTGCAATTAATTATGCTACGTTGATTTCTGGAAGGGAATGAAAACATCGGTAATCCTATTTGTTTCCTGTGAACGCTGAATGCTGTGGACTCGGAGCATTGCTGGAAGTTTATTTAAATAAAATGCTACACAAATAGCATGGAAATGGTAACCCAGGGTAGCTTGTGTTAAACGTTAAATATTTTGAATTGCTTTAACCTTCATCCTACCAGCAAAACTGGTAAAATTAGCGCTCAGTTCCACGTTTTAATGATTTCAAGTAGCGCTGATGCACAGAAGGAGCAAACCGTGAATGGAGAAGGAGCCTTACAGTATTTGTATTCAGAAAGGCACGCCTCAGTTTGCTTCAATGTGTTCATTTTGTTAGAAGTAGCCAGCAGATACTTGAATCAAAAGAGCTTTTACTTCCCAGTGAGAGCTGTAAGTTCGCTGTCACTGTTGCTGTGCTTTGAAGCGTTTTCATAAGGTAAATCTGCATGCTAAAATATCCATGTGAAATTACATGTATTTGAAGAAGGTTTGGTGTTTGTTTCAAGCAGATTAGCACGGACCACTGTCTTTCATGTAACACCCTTTTATCTTTGAGTAAGGCAGTAAAATGCTGTAAATAAAAGGAAGGTTAAGTTATGAGTCAAAGCAATTGATTCTGCATGGCAGCCCTGTGCTCAGGCTTCAGTAAAGTCTGAGAGCCCACTGAAACCCAAGCTACTGCAAACGTTACAGGTAACCCCAGACTGTGAAACACTTCATTTTTACCTTAATTCCATTTTTCCAGAGCTGGTTTTCCTGCAGACAGCAGAAGGCTGCTTCTCGTTCAGGTACTCACTTAATGGATGTGTCAACTTCCACTGCCGTGCCAGGATAAACTTGCCTTTAGGTGTGCAGAGCTGCAGGGAATGTCACCTGTTGACAATTCAGCAGTGAAAACATCATTTCAAAGTCTGTCCTGTTTTAAAATGCCTTAAATAAAGGATAGATTACGACAGCAAAATGCAGATCTTGCTGCACATCCTTGGTAATAAAACAAGCTTTATAGATTCCCAGGGTTGTTCTAATTTGTGTTCAAAGTGCTGCTGAACAGCCTCATAGGGCTGGAATTAACCCTGTTTCTGCTGGTTTCTTTTTTGCTGCATCTACTCACGCAGCTGCTGTCTCTTATTTGTCACTTTTCTTTTGCATACCGTTCCTTTGGCTCTCCTTTTGCCTTCAGCATTTTTGCAGGCAGGGCAGAGTATTCAAACCTAGAGCTCAGCTGATCAATTATTAAGAGATGCATTTGCAAGTCACAACTGAGCCGATTTTACACGCACACAAAGCAACAATTTCTGTTATACAAGATATTCTTAAACCCCCCGGGACAGTTAAGAGGAAAATATTGGATGGAGTGAAATCTAGCAGCTAAGGAGGGTCATTTACTAAACTGGCTTTACAGATTTCCATTTTCCTACCTGCGAGTCAGTCCTGTGTCGTCTGTATATTTACATTTTCAGGTGTGTGTTGTCATCTTGACGCGTGGTAGAATCGTTCTGCTCAAAGGGCCTCGGATGAAATAGGTTTCTTTGCAGTGAATGTGGAGCAGCAGTGAGCGTGGAGTCCTGCATGAAAAGCAGCAGTAGTGCAGGTGGAGTTTTGCATTTCATCTGTAGGGGAGAAGTGCTCTGACATTTCAGAAACACCACCTACTGGTGGCTACAGTTCTGAAGGCTGAAAGGAAATGTGTTTTTCTCCTGAAAGAGCAATTTTGTCTTTGCGTGGTTCACTTTTTAAGGTGATATTGATCTGCTAACTTAAAGTTAAGTGTCATTAATGGGCAGGCCGTGCTTCGATGCGATGTTCCGCTGCTGTTAAAAAAATGGATTGGATCTCAGCATTGGGGTTCCAAGAAATCAGTGTTATCAGTTCAGAGGCATGAAGTTATCGTGTCGTTGTTCCTGCACAGTGACTGTTTGTGGATGGTTTGGGAATGCATTGCTGCTTAGCTGAAGAGAATGTGCACACAGATGGATTTCTGGAGTCTTCCTGATGGGGAAATGGGGACAGAGGGCCTTAGAGTGCTTTGCTTTGAGAAGTGCAGAGCTGCGGTTGGGTTATAGGACTGCAGTAATTGTCGTGTTGGAAAGTCTTGTGATACCAGCTTTGATGGGCTGTTTTTCCTCTGTTCTAAGAGCAGGATTATAAAGTCTTTCTTGTTGCTCATGGATCATGTGGTTTCGTCTGCTTCATTCTGTCCTTCAGAACTTGCACTGATCTTGTAAGGGCCAGCAGGATCAGTGTTTCCCTTTATGCCTAGAGGTGGTTTCTGGGTGTTCATGTTTGTTATGTCGGGGTCCTGCTCCAGCAATCAGCTGCTCTGTCTGCCCCTGGTTTTCTAACTGCGAGCATCAGCTGATTTGCTATCAGAATGTATAATGCAGTTATCAGTGCTGATTTTCTCGTTTGAATTTAGGACAAGAAATGTGTCCTTCTGCCACGCTTCAAGTGTAGGTAGGAAATGTCCTTCTGAAAAAGCCCTGAAGTAGCTGTTTCTCCTGCTAGGAGAGCTATGAAGCATAAGAAGAGGCCACGTCTGATATGATTACACTGTAATTAGTGACTTCTGTGTTTCAGTAAATATTTTATGAGACGGTCATGTGAATTCTCTGAATTTTGTTTCCTAAAACAAATGACAGCATCTCCAGGCTCTTGTTTATGCAATCAAGTGATTGTTACTGATTAATCTATCTTAATCTCGCCGTTCAGCACTTCCCCATTGAAAAGGGTCACAAAGTGCTTACAACAAATTATAACAGCTGCTGAATACCTCAGTCCCTTTTCCTCCTTCATTTGCTGATATCCCATAGGACTTCATAACGAGTGCCTCCGTGATCTGTATATTGAACTGAATTGTGACAGTATTACAGCCTTGCCTGTTGTGCCTTATTGCAACCGCTGCTGAGAACAAGCATGGAAGCAACTGGTGTGCTAGCCTTCCTGCCATGTCCTGCTGCAGTAATCCAGCCTTTAGTGTTTTTCCTGGCAGTTGTTTTTAAATCTGCAGTAGTCAACTTCTTAAACGCTGTATATGCCTCAATAAACATATCTGGCTCTGCATTGTGTTGAAGGAGCACTGGTGTGATTGTGTTGTGCTGAGGTGTAGCAAGAGGCTCGGAGTGAGGATAGTATGGTAATATAGGCTGCTGGAGGTAATTTAGCAAGCGTCAGCATAGGACTGCTGTGTTACCAAAGGAGTGTGATAGTAGAGGAAGAGCAAAGTGGGAGGTGAGTGGAGGAGGAACAGATGCTGCTGTAAAGTTCAAGTTGTGCGTGTAGATGGAACTCCCCCTCCAGGGCTGTCTCATCATCCTGTTAGCATGAGCAGCACCTGTGACCTTATCCATCCACTGTGTGACATCTGCCTGGAGCTGTTGCCCTCCTCTGCAGTACCTCTGGATTTTATCCTGACCAGTCACAGGATCGCTACTTTTCTTGCACGTAATCAAGCATAGTTTGGATTGGAACAAATGATTGTGTTCTGTGCCTGCAGAAAACCTTGCCTGGAGTGTGTTTGTTTGTTCAGCCTTTTTAGTTGCCAATTATTCTGAGAACGCATTTTTCTTACTAAAAATACGTTTTTTTAAAGTTCAGCCTTTGCAGGGACAGCACTTGTACCCATTCAAACTGTTTGGTAGAATCTTTTTGTTTTTCTGGCGCTGTATGTTGCAAAACACTTCGAAGAGAGGAGAAACACATCCAGATTTTCTGTAATTGGACCACAACATGATGTAAAAGTGGAGGATGTCATCATAGCACTCCAGTCTCCATCCAGATGTGATAAAATAGAATTCACAAAGCAGCAATCCTTTCCGACTCCAGCAGTCTGGCAGTCCTTCCTGGGTGCTTCGCCTCTCCACTTGTCCAAATGAAAGGATTTCATAGTTGTCACTAACTGATCCTAAATGAGAGAATAAGGATTACAGTACTACGGAAGCAAAACACGTTCTTTCATACCTGGCATTTAGTGAATCAACTGTTTGTGCAAAGTATATGGTGTAAAAGTTACATAGCATACTTGTTATGGCTAAATTGCTTGAGCTTTCACCATGCTGAGACCTGCAGCTACCTCAAAGTCAACACAAATGATGCTGGAGCCTTTTCTGGGTCTATAAGTTTGAAATTCAAATGCTTTGGAGGCTGGCCTTAGCAATACAAATAGGGGTGTAGCAGCTCAAGTTATGATTCAACTGTGCAAATCCTGTCTCTCTTTAGCTCAGATGTTGTTTTGCAATTGGACCACATCAGATTGGAGCCAGCTGGTTCGGGAAAGATGAGTCTTTAGTCTCTACATAATCTTTTTATAGCGTGTTACCCATTCAGAAGTGCATGCTCACCCTTCAGCAGCCTGCTCATTTCTCTTAGTTTTTGGAACTGAAGGTTTTTGGTGTTTTTTTTTCATCTAAGCTGGTCTTAGATGTGTGTGCTATCAGAACAGAAATAAAGCATTCTTTCAAATTTCCAATATATGGCATTAGTTATTTTTGACAGCGTGGCTACAAAAATATCTGTGCTGTGTTTCTTCTGGAACGTACTGCTCAGAATTGGGTGAAGCCTGGAAGAAAGTGGGCAGCAAAGCTGTTTCTGGTATGGATGGGGAAAAAAAAAAAAGAGAGAGTAGGCAGATTTAATTTTATTCTTAAAAAAAAAAAAAAAAAGCATTTCAATTTATTAATCATTTAAAAATAATCACTGTTAATCCAAGCCAAAGCTGCTCTTCTACCACAAATTTGCCTGTTTTATACTGGCTTTTTGGGACTAATTCTGTCCATTTCACATTGCAGGTAGAGGTATCTACCCCCATGTTCTAGCTGAATCAAAAGTAGATCTCCTCTAGGACTACATGTAAATTGTTTTGAATTTTAATGGCAATTCTGTGTAACTTTATCAAGAACCATTTAACAAAACAGTTTTTGTATTGCTATGAATTATATTAATGAGAGCTTGGATTTTTGTTTCACGTTTCAACCTCTTCTCCCCTGATTCCTTTTGTTTTCTGCCTTTCAGTTAGTCTTTTCCTGTATGTAGACGTTATGACAATATCACCAGCCATGCAGAAAATACTTTTTGTCCCCATGCAGCAGCTGAGGAGAGGGAAGAGACCAGAGCACACCGATTCACATCACACAGACAGCAGCAGGAGCTGTACCCAGCACTCACAGCTCTGCAGCAGTGGTTCTTGCTCTTTTCCAAGTGTCAGCTCTGTCAGTCGATCCCACAGGCTTTATTTCTGAGATATTTGATGTGGTTCTGCTTGAGCCAAACGCTGCAGTGCTGTCATGCATGCTACCTGTGCTGAGCCTCCAGGCTCCTGCAGGATGGTGTGATTTGCTCACATCAGACCACTTCCCAGGGCCCAGCCAGTGTTCTCTAACCAGGTCCTGTGCATTTGCTGGCTGGGTTTACTTTCAGGCACCTTGAACAGTAACACAGAACTCAGAAACAATACAATATTTATTCTTTCATCCTTTCAATATATGGAAGCAGTGAATAAAGTAGAATCCTTTGTGCATAATTCCCATTCTAGAAAAGAACATACTTAGCTGTGTAAGTGTGATGTTCTCTGCCTGAACTGAAATAAACAGCTTACATCTTCTGACACATCCTTTCGCTCAGTCTGTCAGCTTTCTTTGCTGATGTGCTGCTCTTACAGCTCCTCTCTGCAGGGCTGATGTTCAGACCTTGTTGTTTAAACTCCCTCGGATGCAAAGCGAAACTTCAGATGTCATCTGAGAAATCCTTTCACAACTATATAATAACTCTTGTATTTGAAGAGCTGATTCTTATCTACGTATTTTCTGAGCAGTGTCTAATAATGCCCTGTTTCTATGTGATGTTCCCTATTTATCCATCTGCTGGTGCTGGCAGTGGGGCAGAGCTGAGTGGGAGAACAAGCTGACATAATGCAGTGCAGATATTTCACCAGTTGATTCTTACATCTTGTGGAAAAGTTGGTCCTTATGGTCATGGTGGGACGATTGCCCTCTCTTTGCACATGATAGAAGTCCTGGAATTCATGACTCTGACTCTATTTCAGGACTAGAGCCATGTAAATACATTCCAGATCTATGCACGCTACATTGGGCAGATGTCCTTTAGTCTTCCACTTGGCAATCCTAGCAGAACGTGTTCCTGTTGGTGGATCAGTGCCACTTTGCTGTATTTCGGGCAGCCCCTTCCAATTTGCACTGACTGCACACAGATCTGAACCTTATCAAGATAACTTTCCAAGATTTTTCCTATAAAATCTCTTGCTTCCTTTAGCATCCTTCCTTTAGCATAGAACAGGTGCCATGTCTGATCAGGTGAATTTTGCCTTCAGTGCTACACAAACGTGTTTAAGTATCAGAGTGTTTTTTCTTACAGACCCTTCAGGTCACTTGAGCCCTGCTTATCACCTCTCTGTATTTCTTTTTTTAACTTGTACTCCAACTCCACCTCTTTATCCAAGATGCAGAACAGCCCCATGCCTTCCTTGTGTTGTCTGTTCTCTCCTCCCTGGAAGGAAGTCTGAGACTGAAGCCAAACGTGTAAAAGGGCTCTGGGCCCACCTGGGTTACAGCAATGGTGCTCTCACAGCCAGCATCACAGCCCTGCACCTGAGGCTCTGCCTGCACCAGTGGCTGCTTCCATAGGCTGCAGTGCCATGGCTGCTGTGGGATGCACAGATTTGGATTTCTTTCTCCATTTTGCACTATTTCTCTGTGAATTCTCATCTCAAATATGTAACGTTCCTCTCCTATCTCCAGCAAAGCCTTGATTTCTGCCTGGA